CGGAAGAAAACTGCTATTTAATTTTTTTTAAAATATATATATATAATATTTATTATTCTTACTGTAACTTTTTAAGACGTTGTTTTCTCGTCCTTAGACTTACAATCACCTTTTTAAATAAATGCAATGACCCCAAATAGATCTTAGGGAGTGTTTGAATAGCTTTCTAGCTAATTTTCGTTTCAGACCTCCACCACGGCTCTGTTTGGGGAACTTTTTCTTGATTTTTTTTAAATTTTTTATTGTAGAAAGCTATTTTTTTCAACATGACCTATTAAACTATAGCGGTTGTAACAAAAAAATATGAAAAATATATTAAATGTTTATCCTATTAAATAAATTTATGGAGTGACACATTAAAAATAAGATTAATGATATCAAAAGAGCTTTTCATTCATAAATAATTTGTGCTCCGCTGACTAAGTAACTATAGTTTGATTTATTTGTTAAGTGAATTGAATACAAATAATTAGTTTGAATTCGATTTATAAAGAAGAACATGAACAAACTTTTGTTTAATTGTATTCGACTTATTTTGGCTTGAAATGAACATAAATAAATAATATTTGGTAGAACATTTTTATATTGATTTTTATGCTTTTTTTTTTAATGTTAAAACTATAATTTTCAAATCATTCGAGTTGAACAAGAGCCCAATAAAAGCAACATGCAAACAAAGGAATTCATATTTACCCAAATACAAACATGGAATTTACAACAATTTTAAATACATTCCTATTTCAATAAAATAATTTTTTTGAACAAGTCAATAAGGACAAATATGAGCTCATCCAATCTCGCCTCTTTTACACCCCTAAAAAGGATAAAAATAAATAATTTAGTCAATTTGAACACTTATAACATAAAAAATGAAAAGAAATATATACCTATTAGATGAACAAGGATTCAAGAGAATACATATAGTACATTGAAGCTATTGAGAATGATTTGTAAGGAATAAATTTTTACTACTTAAATAGTACTTAATAGAGTTGATACCTCCCACAAAAATCAATGAAACATATTACTATATAGTTTGTTTATATAACCTATTACTATTCTATTGAAAATAATGTGGGTTCGGCTCTTACCTCCCAAAACCTTACAAAAAAACTATATGTAGCAAGCCACATATCATTCCAAGCACTATGTTCATGGGTCCTACTTGAAAGATCCTTCTCACCATCCATATACATAAGAGGTAGAGAGCAGGAGAGAGAGAGGGAGGGAGTTCGGCATAAGCATATGGTGTGTATTGTCGTATCGTAGGCAAAAATATAAACATGCCTCACCTACTTGATTTGGCTTCTACCTTTTAGTGGCTAGCTATTAGACATTCATTCCCAAGAGCTCGATTAATTACTGGATTTTTTTTTTGATATTTACATAAATACCACTCATTTCCTATGTATTTACACAACTAACATTTATACTTCAATATATACTACTAAAATGTCATGATAAACCCACCATCATAACTTCACCACATACCATTCATTCTAATCTTTAACGTGAATATAGCACACGAAATGAATTTTAAAACAGAAAACAGAATTTTTTTTTGTTTTACCTTCCATCTCATCAAATAAAATCACAATAACACCAAACCGAGATTCAGGGAGCAGATTGGGTGGTAGCAGTTTTCTTGAAGTCGATCTTGTCGACCTTCACTTCTCCGTCGATGAGCTCATAAACATAGACTACAACGCGAAGTCCGTCGATATCCATGAGCACGAAGCTGGGGTTAACCTCGTAAGTAATGCTGCTGTATGCACCGGTTGCGGAACCCGGGTTGATGACAACACCGCCCTCATGTTTATAGGCCTTGAATTGGTGGGTGTGACCGGTGACGAGTATGTCGACGTCTAGCTGCCTTTGGAGCATTGCCAAAGAATCCAAATCACCCCATGGAATGACCTGCATTCGTCGTATTGAGTTCATGGAAAGCATTTTGTTGTTATTGTAAACCATGAAAAAACTAAGGGCTTATTTGGCATTTCTTTTGTTTTTTCTTTTAATTTAAAAATATGTTTGTTTAGTGTGCTTTTTTGCATGTTTTTATTTTTGTTTTCAAAAACGAATTACTTTGTTTTTAAAAACACTCAAAAGTTATTTTGAGTGTTTTTAAAAACAACAAACCATATTATAACAAATCAAATATGTTTCATTTTAAATAAAAATATAAATAAAACAAAACAAAAATAAAAATAATCAAAAATTAAAATCAAAAGTGATCTCAAACAACCGCTAAGTTGAACAAGTACTTTAACTTTACAAATGATATAGGAATTAGAAAATATGTTCCAACAAAAGATAAAATTTGTTAAATTCATAATTTTGGTTGTAATCAACAAAAAATTATAGCTTTACAAACCGTCACAATTGTTTTCCCGGACAAAATGAGCAAAATAAAATCAAAATGTTACAATAAACGAACAATCAAATGAACCATAGGATTAGTAGAACATTGTTGAAAATTACATATGACGGCATATTCTGGCAAAAGATGGTATAATAACAGGTGCAAAACAGCAGGGAATGATTTAACAGCTGGGATTTGCTAAATCATTCGTAATTAATCTGATTGGGGACCTCTATTTGACTAAAGCTGCAACACAAAACTATGGGGAATTTATATGCAGATGATATTTCACAAGACATTTAGAACTCGATCATATTTGGTCATTATTAATGATATCTGACCTTTTTCATATAATTTCAAACCGTAGACACACAGACAAAGACACATAAAATTTCAATTGGGTAAGTTTAAGTGGATGAGTGAATTAGCTGCCCCGATAAGAGAAACTAGGGTTGTCAAAATGGCTTGTTGTTTGCAAATAGCTCGTCGGCTCGTTAAGTGGTTCATATTCAATTCGTTCAATAAGCAAACGAACCAAGCACAAACAATTTTTTGTGCTCGATATCTAAACGAGCCGAACATGAACAAAGATTTATTCGTTCGTGTTCGGCTCGTTTTGACTTGAAATAATTAAATTAACTACAATGCTACAAAGATTTATAATCAATTAAAATTAATAATAAAAAGTTAAAATAAAAATATATTAAATTCAATATAAATGAATATTTTAATATAAATAATAAGATTTAAATCTCACTCCTACCCTTTACATAGCTGCATGATTAGGGGTGTCAAAACGACACATTTTTCACGAATAGCTCGTTTTCGACTAGTTATCCAAACAAGCCGAACATGAACAAACTTTTTGAGCTTGATATATCAACGAGTTAAACACGAACAATGGTATATTTCTATGAGCTGAACATGAGCCGAGCCCGGGCTGGCTCAAGCTCAGCTCGTTTGCACCCCTAAGAGAAACTGATTAATTAGTAGCATGGAACAACGAAGGCCCTATCAATTGGTTGCAAGTGGACTGGTCATTTTGTCTTATCTACCTTAGAAATTAAGAGAGAAAAATTAATGAATAAACGAGAGGAAATTGAGAGAGAGGGACAAAGGAAGAGAGAGCGAGCTCAAGGAAGTTAAGCTCAACATACTGAACCTGCTGTATATCCATCCTGTCATACCGTGTAATATAATTATTTTCTTTCAATTATCAGCATAAAATACAGATAACACATTTAAATCCATGCTTAACTACTACAAGTTCATGTCTTGTCAATGTGATGATGGTTTCTTATCTTTATAAATGGGATTTTTTTTTAAAATTTTTATACATGGGATATGACTATTGCATTATGAAGAAATAGATACTATAGAAAAGATTTAAAAAAAAAAAAAATCATTCATTGTAAGATACGATGCCATTCATGGTTACTTTGTACGAAGAACTAAGATTTACAATCCAATCCGGATTTGACAGGTCTCCACATGAACCTCGCTCAGATAACGACCTCTACTGGTAGGAGCATGTTGGATTATTTAATAGTATGGTTAATGGCCTCTTAACCAAACTGAATTAGCAATAATGGCCCTTATGATGACCTTGCTGGTAATGGCAAACTCTTATTCGATTGGTTCGGATTAAAGAGTCCTCATGTAAATGATTTGAATAACAGAATGTGAAAACAACAACAACAAAGCCTTAATCTAATCGTGTCCTGTTCTACAGCCAACTTGTAATGCATGCTATGTTGCACTCTATCTGTATTACTCTGCATTACCAGCTCATGTCATGATGCACATGCTATCGTGTCCTGTTCAGAAATAAGGATGAATTACAAGCCAAATTTGTTCAAATCTGAGTCAAAATTTGTCATCTTGATTATAATTTCATTGCTAAGTCATATCAAAGGCTAAAATCCCTCCTAAAAATCATCAAGTGTTATAAACTTCATCACATCTCACAGTTTATTAAAGGAACAAATTAGACGGTCCTAGGTAGGCCACTTTGCTGAAAAAGAAATTTGGCATGCTTTCCTCTTTGCTTATGTGTTCTAGAAAGCGACAGTGGAGGTCATTCTCGAGTACAGTTCATGTTAAAACTAGCCTTGGCAAATGTGATAGATCCTCTTAAAAAGAAAATTACTGTGATTAACACGAAAAAGTCGGTGCTAAAGAAGTTGGACACTAATGTTGGAAATCACAATAGTGAAGCTATTTCTTGAGTACAATTCATGTTAAAGGGCTAATTTCATGTTTTTATCACTTCTCCTAAAAAAAAGGATTCCAAATAATGTTCACAAACTGTCAAAATCATGATTGGAAGAAATTTGTCACATAAGTTAAGAAAAAAGGATGGTATATGGGAATTTTCCGAACTTCCACCAAGAAAAAAAAAATAGTTGGATGCAAATAATTCTTACAGTCAAACAAAAAACAAATGGAAGCATGAATAAATTTAAAATACTACTTATTGCAAAAGAGTACACCCAATCATATGATATTGATTATCAAGAAACTCTCCCACATTACTAAACTCTCTTGTAGCAAATTTTAATTGACATCAACATCAACTTGATATCATGAATGATTCTATTAATAAGGTCCTTAAAAAGGAAGTATACAAGGCAGCAATCCAATTGAAAAATCAGAGAAACGCCAATATGGTGTAACTAAAGAAATTATAAAAAAAAAACTCTATATTGTTGACCTTCACACCTCATTCCTCTCTGTCCCATGTTGTGCACTATCCCCCGTGCAGAAAATCAGAGGCCAAATGTGAAATCCCATTAATATAATGATGTTGAACTCTTAAACAAAATGAATCTGAACTCTTAACTATTATTTAAACCTCTGTGGTTGGAATTTCATTAAAAAATTAAAAGTTAAGTGTGCTAGTACAAGAGCACTCTCGGAATGGGTAATCTCCTAGGAAGTTGCATCAATAGGACAAATACCATGAGGCCATTAAGCCAAATCAAAGACTATTACAAAAGATATTGGAGCAATACACCAGCCTAAAGATAAGAACTTAATGTCATACAGAACAAAGTGCTACACCATGAGAGCTAACATTTGAACCCTAAATGAGTCAAAGTGCTATATAATGGGAGCCAACTCTTGAATCTACAGAGTGCTTCTAGAATTATATATGCTTGGTAGATGATTTTGGATTAAAAAAATTGACGATGATGTCAGTTATTTAAGTGTGGGAGATTGTGAAACCCCTCCAGTAGAATGAAGTTGAACACTTAAATATTGAGACTTTTTTTAGTGTAACAATTAGAATTTCATTAGAAACTTTAAAGTTAAGTCTGCTCGTAAGAGAGCGCTCTCAGGATGGATGACATCTTGAAAATACGCTAATAAGACAATTGTGAGGCCATTAAGCCAAAGCGGACAATATATCGATGAGTGAAAATCAATGGAAAGCCCAATTTAACAATTTAAAAAAAAGAAAAAATAAAAAATAAAGCTCTGTCATTATACTCGCCTGCACACTCCCTTGCCCCATTTCCCTCGCTTTCCCACCCTTTAACTCCACAAATTGTTGAAAACCTCTACAACAACAAAATTGAGGAAGTCATAGAGCTCAGTATCTTCAAAGCCTAGTAGCATGTGAAGAAGGCACACGTGAGCTGGCTCAAGAAGGCATTGGGCAGCTTTGTTGCGTGTGAAGAAGCGGGAGGTTGCCCGAAACTCAATGAGAATGCATCGAAGAATCGAGGTGAGCTTATAGGAGAGAAGTTTATGACATGTTATTTATGTTATATCCACTCAAGACTTTGGTAAAATAAGTGGAGAAATGGGATTTAAAACTAAAGAATTCAAGTTCTTGTTTTGGCTATTTGACAAGATTTAAGTTAAATCCTACTAAAGACCTACCACCAAGCATCCCATCGTTCATCTCCTCTCTCTTTTCATCTTTGTCTATATTTCTCTCTCCTTCCCTCACTCTCTCTCTCTCTCTCTCCAAAGGATTTTGTTTCGATTCGTTCGATAAGTAAATGAGACGAATGTGAACAAACTTTTTTTTTCATTCGGTTAGTTAAAAGAACCAAACACGAACAGTGATGCGTTCATTCGTGTTCGAATCGTTATTGTTCGAAATATAAAATAATTTAAAATAATTATATATAAAAAATTTATGATATTTTAAAAAATTAAATTTTATAAATTATAATATATAATAAATTAATAATAATAATATATCAATATACTATATTAGTAATATACTAATATAGATATTATATATTTATATAATATAAGTTATATAATTAATATAATATATTATTTAGATATATTAATATTAGGGATGTCAAACTGGCTCGTCGTTCGCGAACAGCCCGTGCTCGGGTCGCATTCGGCCCCGTCGCTAAAAAACAAACACAAGACCCAAACACGAATACAAGCTTTGTTAGTTCGTGTTCAGTTAGTTTACACCCCTACATACAATACACAAATATCAAGAGAGTAGAAGACCCAACTGTGGTGTCCTAAACATCATTCATACATACAGTCTTCTTGGCCCCATAAAAGCTCTCTATGTGAGAGAAATGTCGGGAGGTTACAAAACTTTCACTGAACTGATTTTGTAAAGAACTTAAAAGGCATAATTAAAATGACTCTCTACACCATATAACGCAACAAATGAAAGTTTAAATGCACAACGAGAACAAAAATGAAAATTCTAAAATGCAATACTTGAAATGAACTACATTGACTGTAAATAATGGATTATCTACGAGCAAACTAAAATCTCGCCTTTAGCACACAAAACTTTATTGAAAACTCGGAACCTTAACCTTACACACGATGGATAAATAAGATTTGTCGCGAAAATGGGTTAAAGAACACACCTTTTTGAAAGTGGAAGGGAGGACCCATACGGGCTTCATTTGAACATAAGGGCTAAACACAAGCAAACTAGCAATATTTTAAAAACACAATGAAAATACTAAATAACTGTGGCAATTGAATCAGTAAACTGGCACATACAAGCGGACAAACTGCAACAAATAATGTTTATAAAATGTAAAGCGATAAACACATTTAAATAACAATGAAATCACGTGAACAACTACCGTAATACATAACATAAGGCTGGCATGACACATCAAATCCTCGAGAGCAATTTTGATTGCATGTGCTTTGACAAATGTGTTAAATGCTCAAACTTAACCTAGCAAAAAGTTGCACAGAATAAAAAAAGTTATAAGGATAAATTCATGTTTGCCCCGCCTTGAGAGACGTGCAGGTGCAATGATTTAAAAATTATACAACAATTCCAAAAATTCACAACTCTCTTCTAAATTTAAAATGCACACATCAAGAGCTTATATGCATGCTCTCAAGTAGGTCATTTTACTTACACGTGGACTTGTAATTCTCATTTAGCAATCCAATCCTACGCATCCTAAATCCTGAAGCAGACAAGTTTTGCCTCAAAAAATAATTTTAAATTCTCGTCACATAAATCTAATACTACTCATCATGTTACTCATGTCACATTGGGAATCTAGTACACGACCACAAAATTTGCTAGAAATATTTTATCCTCCATTTACATACCTTCAAGGTATTTTGCAAAGAAAATGCAAACACGTGATTGTTGATGCCGTGCTTATAAGCTATGACCATAAGTTAAACTCTCACAAACCTAATTCTCTAAGTACAAGAACAAAGTAGACAAAGTCTGTAATGCAAAGAATGTTCAAATGAACTTGCGTAGTGCAAATTTACAAAACTAAATCCTCGGCAAGAAAACTATCGGAGTTGGCAAAATTCAGGGCAACAAATTTAGTCGAATACTTCAATAATAACCACATTGAAAAAAAAAAATCAACAGGAAAAGGATACTATAATCAAGATGCCCGCAAATCTCAGTAAAAATCATTTCAAACTTACAAAACTAATACAAAATAAAAATTAAGAAAAAAAAACTCTAAAATCTAAATATTTTTTAAACAAAATTTAGAGCCTCAAGCATAAAGTAGCAATCCAATCATCTTTCGCAATCATTTGACTAGGATTACAAACTTAAGATAAATTAAGCTCACAAAAAGTCAATATCATGCCAAGTGTGCCTCAAAGATTACTCTCAAATGTCTCAAAATAATAAGGATGTCGTGCATTATGAACATGTCGTTTCATCAAAAAATGACACCACAAAAAAAGACAATTATTTTTGAAACACTCTGAACAAATGATTCGCCACAAAATAGTACTATCAAATTATCATCATGACTCGAGTTTCTAAATGAACGAAATCCTAAAAATCATGGAATGCACTTGATAAGATGCAAATCCCTTTATTAGCTGAAGTAAGCTTGAAATTATTCCCTTAGAAAAAATTCAATCCCGTCTATAAGTTACCCTTCAATAATAAAAAAATCCTTCACACAGTTTAAATTAGAGTGCAACTGAGCCAAGCTGGCGCATTAGTTGAGCTCAAGGATCTAACAAGTCAAAGTTGAGCTAGCCTCGACTAAGATTGTTAGCTTGTGAGCCAATTTTTTTTAAAAAATGGCAATACAAAATGCACTTAAAATGTAATAAATTTTATGATTTTGAGTATATATTATAAATTTATTTTAAATTATATTATACCTTCTTATATCAAGTTATTCCTTATTATTTCTCCCATAATTGCACATTTTTCTCATTTTATTACAAAAATTTCTTAAATCAAAATTATTTTTCTATAATGATAAATAGCCAACATGTGAGCTCACTTAAACTTATAAAATTTTGCTTAAGCATAAGCTCACTCAAATAATTAATCAAGCTCAAGTTTTGACCTAGCTCGAGCTCAACTCAACTCATTTATACCACTAGGTTAGGTCGACTATCTCTTCTGACTAAATATGTCATGATCCACGATAACACAGAATAATGAAAATACGAGGTCTTGAGTTTTGATAAAATAATCAATAAAATAGGCATTTCAACATAGACAACCTAGTTCGAAGGATTGTGTTGAAATAATCCTAAATTTATAATTAGCACCTCCCCATTTACAACAGCCAAACAATCAATGGATAACAGTTTCACATCTACGACAATCTAGCAAATCTAGCAAATCGTGGATAGCAGTTTTCCATCTAAGCAATCTGCGGCCAACAGTATTCAATTTTTTGTTTTGTAGTTAATTATGAATTCCAAAATTAAAGATTACTTTCCAAATTTATGTCATTGCTAGATAATTGTTTCTCTACCTATTTATACATAGATTCTAATCTTATTGTTTACATAGAACAAGGGAATAAAATTCAATCATGTAATCTCCTATTAGGTTCATTTTAATACTTGATCCTTTAAATAAAATGATTTCTAGCATGATTTGCCACCCGCTTAGATTTCATGCTTCAGTACACTTTCTTCTTCTTCTTTTTCCGAACAAAATTGCAATATAATACACATTACATAGTGACGCTAAACGATTTTATCAAGTTATGAAATATACATAATAGGCAGATGTTATGCCCGGTTCCTAGAGGCTACAGCCAATGTAATTGAATATACAATTCAAGTACTGATTAGCAAGCCAGCAAGTATCAATCTCATTTTCAATAAAAAAATTTATCTCCTCAAGTTATATCAGATATAATGCTATTGAAAGGAATGAGGGAAAAATTTCACAAGTTTCCCAGCCTTAGAAAAACATTAATTCCGTTTACCATCCACCATCTCTCTTCTTCAGGATGCCATACATACAATTGAAAGTTGTATGCAATATTCATGAATTGGCATTAGCATATATTAATAAAATAAGCAAAAGAATCGATGAAATGTAAAACCTGGTGGCCGTGACATAGCCCAAGCTTGAACTGGCCAATTGTTAGAGTCTTGGTCTCTGGGTAACGAGCATCCTCATCATATTCACCTCGTGAAACATGCAAATCAGGGCAAAGGCTTTTCAGGTAGTCATGGACCTCCTGTGAAGAATCAAGCAAAAAGTTACCAGATAAATACAGCTGCTCTGTCCTCCTGGCATAAACCAGTACAGCATTTGCTAAAATAATCCAAGACTGGCAAAAATATAAGAAAACAAATAACAGTGCAAAATTGACGTCAGAGGGGGACTGGGGCCAAAGTGCAGAACCTTGATATACAAGCCAAATATGGCAGCGGTATCTCGAGTGATTAAATGTGTGTTGTGAAAGGGTGTCTTATGATTTTATTGAAGATTGGTGGCCATTACAGTAGCAGAAATATACAGACATGCAGAAGGAAAGAGATCAAAATTAATGGAATTTGTTTAGAAGCTTTAACAACTTATATAGCATGATGAGCAAAATCTCTGATAACCCTATGCCCCTCTCGAGTTTAGATGACAAGCGATTTAATGATAATAAATTAAGTGCAGTGCAGTTAAATAGTTTGTTTAGTGTTTTCTTCTAGATAATTCAATTATAAACAACCATGATGATGATGACCTATGTCATTAGACTAGCATTGACACATTTGCAACTTAGAAATGAGCTCGAGTGGATTAAATCAACAAGCTCAAAAATGAAATATATAAGTTTTACAACTTACAAGTAAGAAATCTGATGTACGAGTTTTTAAGTGTTTAATTATAAATCGATCTAGTAAGATTTACCAAGGATTCAAAATGATGAACAAAAAGATAAAATGAATTCATTTTAACTATATTTACCAAAAAATTAATTTAATTATTCAAAAAATAAATTCCTTACTGATTATATTTTTGAAAATTTAATTGATTTCATTTCACCTTTATTTGATCAATTGACAATAGAATAATTACGCATAAATTGTTTCAATGATTATATAATGTGATCATGTGCTTGATTTATATATTTGAAAGAAATTGATCACTCTTGTGATTAGGAAATTTGTTTGATCATAACTTACCAATTTATTTCATAAGATGTTAATTATGATTATTTATATAACTATGTTTAAATAATGTTAATTGAGTAATTATGCTATATAAAAGATATTTGGTGGTCTAATTCACTCTATTACATTCATTTAAGTCGTCTAGAAAAAAATTGATATATAATAACAAATACTTATGTTATAATTCTATTAAGTTGCGTTAAAAATTGGAAGATATGCTTAATGGTATGCATTATTTGGTCAAAGACGAAAAACCAAACTGAACCGAACAAATTTCGTTGATTTTATTACGCTTCAAAAGTATATTTCGATTTTCTATTTTTAGAATCTTAATATTAACTTTTAGGTTATTGGTTTGATTTTCACTTTTACTTGACAGAATAAACTAAAAAATCAAAATTTAATTAAAGTTTTTTATTATATTTTAGGGGCATTTACATACATAACACCTAATTCCTATGTATTTATATATCCAACGCCTATACTCTATTTTTTTTACATTTCTACCACCCAAATCTTTCATATCACATAAAAAATACCACCATTTTAACTTCCAAAAAAAAAAACAAATTGAAATACACATTTTCATGCATAGGTAAGGTGTCATTAATGTCAAAATTGAAATTTAGGTTCTAGATATGTAAATACATGGAATTAAGTGGTATGTATGCAAATCTTCCTATATTTTAATTTCAAATCAAACAACTAAAAAAATAAACTTTATCACATATGCAACATAAATTGAGGATTCATGAAATTTAACTGATATTATATATACAAGATATATAATAATAATTAAATTACAACAAACTGCTAAAGTTGCAGTTTATTCATAACCGATTAGTTTTAAAAAAAATAAGTTTTGGTTTGACCAGCTCGGTTCAAAATTATGATTGCAATCAATTTGAACAATTTGCAAATCAATTCATCCAAACCGACCAAATGCTCACCCATAGCTATACTTATTTACATGAACGACACGCCCCTCCATACACTTGCAAACAAAAAATGGCTAGCTAAACTATGGACAAAGCAAAGCGGAAACTGCCACATGCAAAACAACATATAATGACTAGTTTTTATAGCAATTTGTGAGGATTTTAAGGTGATTTTTGAAGGACTTCCTAACAAATTCTGTAGATACTATTTATGACATTAAAAATCAAAAGGCTAATAAAAGATCAAGTGCTTAATTGCTAAGTCATTTGTAAAGATTTTTATGTGCGAAATTCAATCGTTCATCAAGCAAAGTTTACTTGAATGTCCTAGTCAATCTCTCTCTCTCTCGATCTCTTCAAAAATATTTGATTTAATTTTTAATTGTATATTTATCAACCTAAGAATAGAGTTTGTTTATTACAATTTAAGGAAGATTCACATACATACCAATCAATTATTATATATTTAAATATCTAAGACCTAAACTTCAATTTGTACATGCATACCACCTTACCTACGAATAAAAAAAGTTGTTTTCACTTTTTAAAAGTTAAAATGGTGGTTCTTTTGATGTGTAAGAAAGATTTGGTTGGTATAGATGTAAAAATTAAAGTTTAGGCATTAGATATGTAAATACATAAAAATTGGGCGGTATGTATGTAAATTGCTTGACTTAAATCACAACTAAAATGTAAGAAACTTTAGAAGATTTAACACTGCAATTAGGATATACTTGGCAAAGCATTTCTGATGCTCTTGCCAAAGCAAGAAGTGTAGGATCTTCCACTTTAAAAAAGATGTTGTAATGTATTCTTCCTAGTTCATGAAGTGAAAGCGATTTAAGGAATCCTAATTTAGTAAGGAATTAAGGGTATCACGGCTCGACCCGTGGCTTAGAATTAATCAAAACGAAAACAGATAGCCAGACGTTAAATTTTTTCTATATGCATATTCTATAACTAATATTTAACAATTACAGTTAAATTTACCTCATTACAGGTTATATGTTTCTTCTGTAAATATTTTCTCTTCTATTGCTTAGTTGTTAATCATTTAATTAAACTTGAAAAACTATTTGAAAACAACAGTGAGCTAATCATAGCCAGTAAATACTCATACTCCTAAACTATAGTAATACAACAATAAAGAAGACAATATCCATGAACGTTAAATTTTACGTAAATTAATGTAACAGTAGGTGAAGGGTTGTACTATCTAATATGATCATTCAATGCAATTCTAAAACCCACTATGTTTTACTATATCTATTACATACCAATATATTTCTAATATGTATATATTTTCACAGGAACACCGTCTAAAATTGTACTATTTAATATACTTCAATATTTGTATCATTTTTCAGTTATGTGCATGGGTATCTGTGTCACCGCTAGTACCATAGAAGAGTCACTTCATCATATACAAGCATGCACATGCAAGCAATCAAAATAGTAAATCTCATTTTTTTCTTTTCAGAACATTTAGTAAATAATATAATAATCTAAATAATGCATTTGATATATATGTATAAATATAAGTGGCATGCAATTCAATATGATCAAATGAACATAAACAACAGATAAAATCTATCTAAACAATTAACAAATCTAGAAGAAAAAAATAGTACCATAATTTAAAAATACAAGTATTCAGCTCGATCAAAGACGGCTTTCTTGGACTTAAGTTTTAGCACTTCTTTCAAATTAACACCTATAAAATATAAAATATTCATGTTACTAAATTTTTTAATAACATTACTTAATTATGTTTTAAATTAATTAATAATTATTATTTTATTATATTATTTTAATTAAGATTTCAATACTAAAACTTCAAATTTCAATCATTACAATTCATATTAATATTAAATATTATTAACTTATACAAAATACTTTTGAAAATAAAAATCTAACATTTCTTTGTTGTCCCCAACTTTTTCTCGATCCAAATATGAAGCTTCTATAGATGGAATCCTAATTTGATTAAACCTTAATGTTAATAATTAATAATTAATAATTAATAAAATATTAAAATCATAAATTAATATTTTTAAAACCCTTATTAACACGCATAGAACTGCTCCGTCCCATGCTTTCGACAACGCACCCATCTTCCCCTGGTTTCGACAACGCACCCATCTTCCCCTTTCGCATGCTTCAGCTCATTATTAATCAAATCCAAGCACGCTGGCTCCTCTCCTCTTCTATGCTCGATGCTTCTTCTCATTTTTCTTCTTTGATTCAGATTGATACAACCACTCTCACACTATCACAATGCTCGTGAAATTCCAATCATAACATTATTAACCCAATTCTTATAAAATAAAATTTCTTTAGCACTAATTATAAAAGTCATACCTCTAATCATTCCTAAGCCACGCCTCATCTTCTGCTTGGAACGCACAAGAAACCATCATCAGAACTTCTCGTTGGCTCCACCTGATAATGTTTCAGCCCTCTTGTTTCTTCTTCGTAGCTTGGTTCCATTGCATGTGAACTAATTGGCTCAAATCGACAACTTCATGTAAGAACACTTCTTTCCCTTGAGCTAGGGCTCAGATTGACCCGCCTTCTTCTTCCTTCTCTAGACGAACCTTCCTCAACACTCAAATTCACATCGAGTAGCTCACACCTCCATCGTTATCTTCGAATGCGTCGTTCGGCCATGCAGATATGCTTGTTCTCACAAACAGGGTGTCACGCTCATCTCGCTTTCTCTTCCTCTTGACGGTATCTTCTTGCTTAGCTTAGTCCCTCGCAAGAGAATCTTCCTCTTCCTTCTCTCGCACGACACTACTCCTTCGGTGCGCCCTAGGTTGCCGCTTTGACTTCTCTCTATCTTTTCTTCTCTTCTCACGCTTCTGATTTGCGCTTCTCTGGCTCGAATGACAACCTCAATTGGTACCAAGGTTGTGTGATGGTTATCCCTTTAAATATTTTTGCCTTTTGACTTAGATTTACATTTATCATCTATTTACATATTTTGTTGATGTGCATGTAGATATGGTGCTTCAATATTTTAATGCTTCATATATTTGTGTTTTGAGTAAATCATTATAACAATATTAAGAAGTTAATTACTCCATGTAATATAGATTTTTGTGGTCATCCTGTCTTATAATTTTAAC